GAAACAGCTCATGTTCTCTCATTCGCTATTAGTTCCTCTCTTGCCTATAAAGATTGTTTCTGGAAGTCTCTGAGTCAGAAACATGAACTACTTTTCGAAAAAAAAGTGATTATTTTCTAATCTAGTATATGCAGTTATTTGTGCTTAAATGAGTTCTGGTTTAGGTCCAGAAAGTGGCTGCCATAGAGGTTTCTGGAAGGAATTCCCCTCTTGGAAAGTCATGCAGAGTATTGCACATGGGCAAAGAATTCATTAGGACACAGGCTCCTTCTCGTGTGTAAATATTGGCTTGTACCAGAATTAGCACTCTATGTTCAAAGAAACAAGTTTGATGATTATAATATGGTAATTTCTAGTTACTGGTTGCTGACTGACTCTTCTTGACTGAAGTCAGCATTCATCTGGTAGGATGCCTGCTGTGCGTATAGAAAAATACCCTATGACTCTCTTACACCCTTATTCTAGGTTTCTCAATTATACCACTCAATGACACAAAGCCACAGTTACCTGGCTGTGTCTCAAACGCATCAAATCCCATGTAACCAGCCCCACAACAAAACCTCAAATACTTGGCTCTGATGGACGATGTTATAATGAGGGTGGAGCTCAGTTCAATAGCCAATTTAATGCATCTTAATGTTCTAACATGCTTTCGTTTCATATCTAGGACAATAAACGCTGCAGTAAAGTTTTATTTAAAGCAGGTCTGTTTTGCAAAATGAGTCTTGCATATGGAACAAAACACTCATTGTCGCTTTACTGTTTAAACCTTTATTATTGCTTTTTTTTCCTGGTACAATGGGCTTTTATGCACCAAACAGCTGTGTTCATCATGTTTATTTAGAAGGCGTCCATTGTAGTGGAAAAAGTCTGGAGGACAAAAATCTTGGTGAAGTGCAAGACTACTCTGTGAGTGCTGGCACTTTTATTTTTTTTCTGTCCGGTTCCTTTGGTCAGCATGCAAGTCACATACACAGGCACTGCCATGCAGACTTGCAAACCCTGTATAATAGCAACTTTTCACAAGTGCTGTCTCTTATTCCAAGCGTTCTCCTCCAGAAATTTTCAATTCCAAGGCAACATACAGGACGCGTGACTATTTTATACCCTATGATCCTATCGTTTCTCAATCTGTTGCTATTTTGGCCCCTCATTAGGTCACTTTCCAAATATTGTGTACAGCTATGTGTCAATCATTGTCACAGCTCGGCTCCAGGCTAAGCCAACCCAGGACAAAACTGGGAGGAAAAAAAAAATGCCAACCAAAGCAAGCACTGTGTAGAAAACAGTCAACAGTTTAACTGTGGAAAGCTATGCGTTGTTCCAAAGATAGCATAAGCCCACTTGATGCAAAAGCAGCATACAGTGCTAATGGTCCCCAAAATAATTTTACGCAGTTGAAATGCGTAGTGTATACCCAATGGCATCTGCACATAAACAGATGTTAGAATCTCAAGAATTAAGAGCATGACATTGTAGGAAACTCTGGGGTGCCTCCTGCCAAAAAAGCAGTCTAGTTTCCAGTTTCTGGAAAGAACAGAGCATCTAACATATTGACAGAACTTCTTTTGAGTAACAGTATCTCTAACACCTTCTAAACCTTTGAATGAAAGCCGCTGTATAAGCAGGCAGTGTTACCCTGGGGAACTAAAGGGTTCCCTACCTTCTTCGGAGCATGTCCGGCAGGACAGATGCATTCCCATGCCATGTGAAATGGCTGCGCCCCCTTCCCTCTTTTCGGGTTGCCCTCTGTTCACATGTAGTTCAGGTAAATGTGGGAAACATAGAAGTGTCTCTATCAGCCCCATAGTCAATGCTATTGTTGTCACGGGCTGGAAAATTAACTGGAACAAGCTAATATGCTTGATCATTTAAAAATATTTTAATATCTGTATAGAATGAAATGGCTCCTTATTTCCCGAACGGTAAATGCGCTAGGCTTTCTACAGAGCTGCCGTTCTCAGCTGTTGTCATTCACGTGCCTCAGGAAACTGTAATGAGGTTAAAAAGAGCAGAATAAAGTTGCATCCACACAGTTCATGGATGATAGCAGTCCGTGCGGAAGCATGGCTAAAGTGAGTGCTGGGATCCAACAGCAGCACGGCCAGAGAGAGGCTGCGAAGGTGCCGACCGCTCGGAGCTGGGGCTGAAGCAGGGGCCTGGGGAAGGCCTGGCGTGCCGGGGAAATGATTCTCCAGAAGAAAGGAGAAAACATTTTGGGGGGGCGGATAAATGGAAAGAAATGTGAGCCAAGTGGAAAGGGAGAGAGTGTGACAAAAGGATTAGCCCCTACTTGCCAACAGTATAGTAGAAGCAGAAAACGAACTCGGGGAGGAACTTTAAGGAAAAGAAAACTTTTTCAGAGACTGTTTCAAAGGTTTCGTGGATGCAGCCTCCATCTACTTGTATTTTCCTTTTTCTCCCAAGAAGGAAAAAGGACCTGCTGTGAGCAGAATGTATCCCCACTTGAACAAACGCAGACCTGAATGGAGTCCCGGTCTGGAGAGAGTCCATGTAGGCCAAACCCCTGGAGTCTCATCGCCACCTGGGCACCACAAAGCTTGAAAGCCAAGCACAGAGGCGCAAAATCTAGTTTGTAATCAACAGGTAGGTAGCTGGAAGTTTAAATTCCACTGCCTGTTGGTCCTTTAGCAAAATCTATGTGCTTGTTAAGTCTGTGTATTTTTTAATCTGGGTATGTCTAGCTGTGCTTAATAAGGCTGGGTACAACAGACTGAATGGATTTTGAACTATATACTTTCAAAAATAGTGTCTGCTTTGAGATGGATGTGTTTCGTGAAATTCTTAAGGAAGAAAAAAATCCTAATTAAGGAAAAAAGAGTGTGTAAATATAACTCTGGCTCTTAACTGCTAACAGCTATAATACCAGAGCGGTTGCAGAATTTGATTTGTTTTTAATTAGCAACCCCATAGCTTTGCTGTCAGAACAGAAACACGTATTTTGACAGAGAATGCTTTTTAAACCTATGCTTTAACATAAATGGCTCTAGGAGGACTCTGAAATGTCACTCTGTGGGAAGTGCCAGAGCGGGCTGGATGCATAGTCCATCTAACCCCACCAAATGGAGCCCCTGTTGGATGTCTGTGGCAAGAGCCCCCACGGTACAGAGTAATAATGACATTGTCAGATGTTTTCTGGAGAGGCTGCAGTGTGCGAGGTGCCACCTCGCAGTCCCTTCACGCACATGAAGTCCCTCCAATGCAGAAGTGCTTGACCTCAACAACTTCCCGTGACAGGGAGTTCCATGGTAAATTGTCTTTGCGCGCCCCAGGATTTTTTTTTTTTCTTCCTTCCCTTTGGTTTCATTTAGTCTTGTTCTGGCATTACGAAACTTTTTTTGTTTTGGTTATTTGCGCTCTGTTTTTCTCATGTTCCTGTACATATCTCTTCCTTTTAAATGCCAACCTCCACTCTCTCTTAAACTATATGTATTTTATATACCAAACTCTTTTTGCGCTCTGTTTTTGTCACGTTCCTGTACATATCTCTTCCTTTTAAATGCCAACCTCCACTCTCTCTTAAACTATATGTATTTTATATACCAAACTCTTCAAATAGAATCTTTTTT